CCAGGGATTGAACTCGGGTCCTTACACTTACAAGGCAGGCAGCAGAACCACTGAGCTAAATCCCAGCCGACAATCAAAACTTATGGGATAAATTTCACACCCACTTGCTTCAAGTACAAATGCTTTGAAGGGAACTATGAGATATTCAGATCCTAAGAAACTTCCCCAATAATCAGCTGTCAGTTTTATCTAATCATTTTGCTTACCCTTTGGACATTCTCTTGGGGTTTTGATGTTGAAGAACATTCTAATCGCTCACCTTCAGCTGGTTTATAACCATTAATTATGAAATCACTCAAGCCATCTTCATGGTCATGGCAACATTATCATAAACTAATTTTAATATTTCATGTGTTTATCATTTAATACTAATTTAATGGTAATTCATTATTTGTGATCCATGATTTTTTACACTTTAAAACACACCTCACTCACCCATAGCTTGCAACTGACTGCTTGCATAAAACTCAATGAAACTTGTCAGTCACACACTAAGGTTCTGCACCACACTTCTTCACCACCCCACACCCCCATACCAAGGATTAAATTCAGGACTTTGCACTTGTGAGGCAGGTGTGGCACCACACTTCTAATCTTAAAGATCCCTGCCTGTTCAATGGCATGCCGCAGCAGAATTCACTGTTATTTTTTTAATCACATTACCTGAAATGGTAGGTATCACAAGAATATACTGTTAGATTTTTTTTTTTTTAGTTTCTTACATCATTATCAATTTTTCAACCAATGTTGCTGGGTCAAATGGATATATATTCTTCTGGTACCAGGGACTGAACTTGGGACCTTGCACTTGTGAGGCAGGCAGCAGCACCACTGAGCTAAATTCTCAGCCCTGGATATTTTTTTTTTAAAGTAATAACATTTAGTCCCTATATCATACTACATAAAAACATTCACAGATTTAAAAGCAAAAACTAATTTTCAAAGAAAGTGTCATGATTTTATTATTAAGATAGTGCTCTTACATTAATTCTAAAGAGAAGAGTAATAAAACTTCATTAGAACTAGGGGCTCCAGGTATAGCTCAGTGGTAGAATGCTTGCCCAGATTATACATTTCCCCAGCAGCACCAAAAGAAAGAAAGAGAGAGACAGAGAGAGAAAGAGAATTTCTGTTCATGAAATATTAGGGAAAACACGATGGCAGTGCACATTTCTAGTGAAGGGCTTGTAGTGCTCAATAAATGGGGCACTACATATTTCTAAGGAAAAAACAGACATCCCAACAGATAAAAGAACTGGTGAGAGATTTCACAGGAGGCATTCAAAGGACAAAGATATAAACAGGGCTAAGGATATACCTCAGCAGTGGAGTAATTGCCTAGCATGCACAAATCCCTGCAATGGATCCCCAGAAGCACAAAAACAAAGCAAAATAAACATCTGAATGTGTGTACAAATCAGTACCAACTAGAGGAGTTAAAATTTAAAACTGCAGATACTGCATACTTATCAGAAAGATGATGACAATGACAACAACAAAATAAACAGACTAATAATCGCAAGTATGCTAACTGACTGGAACAGTCAAACACTACTGATAGCAGTGTAAGCTGACAGAGACACTTTGGAAAATGGTTTGATCCTAACTTCTCAGACATTCTACTACAAGAAGCAGCAATTCTATTCCTAACCGGAACACAAATTTCACCAAAAATCCTACAAGAATGCTCTGACTGACTGCAAGCTAGAACAGAGAAATAGTTACCACTAGGGAGAATGGACAGTATTACAAATAGGGAATAAAAGGGTTTGCTGGGCACTGCTAATGTTGCATTTCTTGATATAGGTAGTAGCTTCATGATATATTCCCTTTATAATTATTGACCTTTACAATTTTCATGTTTGTCCTGTTTTTGTTTTACTCAATGAAATAAAAAATTTTAAATAAACACTGGTGGGGAAAAGCAGGGGAGACTGAAAAACGGTCCCAGCAAAAACTTTGTGTATTAAGTATGCTAATTATGTACTGATTTCATGAATGTACACAATAGATAAAAAGATATCCCTTAAATATATACAGATTGTCATTAGTCCTCAATAAAGATGAAAGAAAAAGGTAGGATTCAAAAGATTAAGTTAAAAGGAACAACACTTTTAAATTGGTAAAACAAAACAGAGTAAGAATTCACTAGCTAATTATCTGTCTCAATAGTTCAGAAAAGGCAAATTTTCTAAAAGAGTAAAAGCAAAATTTAAAGATATTGAAAATGAACATACCACAGAATATCAACAATGCCAAATGTCGGTTCTTTTAAAAGATTAATGAAATTGAGCTGGGCGTGGTAGCGCACGCCTGTAATCCCAACATTCGGGAGGCTGAGGCAGGAGGATTGCTGTGAGTTCGGGACCAGCCTGGGCTACATAGTAATTTCCAGGTCGGTCTCAACTACATAGAGAGACCCTGTCTCAAAAAAACAAAAAACAAACAAAAGATTAATGAAATTGAAAGTGCTCTGGTAAATATGTAAATTATACATTAATTATCACATGTATATACACAGTCACACCTCTTCATGAGGATACATTCTGGGAAATTAATCTTCAGATGATGCCCCCACTATGGTACTTACACAAATCTGGACATAAAAGCTTCCATAGACCTGGGCTATATGTTATGGCTCTCTCTGCAATCTAAAATCTATAAATGGCCAAAATCTCACTCTGCAGAGAATGACTAAGTTATAAAGCTACAACAATCAGTGTAGACCTGGCAAAGAGATGAATAATTAAACCTGTGGCATTACAGACAGAATTATCAGAGATACTTAAATGACAGAGATCATACTACACAAAAATAGAAAAAGATGCCCTTTCCAATGGAAGCTGTGGGGAAATTGAGGTATCTGTGGCAAAAAAAAAAGGAGTTATTTCAAAATTGGGGTTTATGTCCTTATTGAAAGGGTTTAGTCAATATATGAGGCATTAGTTTCTCAATTATACACATCATGTTAGGTAGATTATAAAAGTCACTACAGAGACCACTTTTCCTCAAATTAATATGTAATACTGACCCATCAAAATTTCAATAGTTTAATGGAAGAGACCAAAACAAAAACTTTTAAAATTCATCTACAAAATTAAATATATATATGAAATTAGCCAAGAAACTTCTAAATTATAAGTGCAACAGCAGTAGCTACCACCACCTGATACTAAAATATATCATGAAATATAACATGGCAATAATGACCCAAAAAATCACAACAGGAATTACATCAACATATTAACCTATATGGATACGAGAAATGGTTCCCTTGTTAAGAGCAAAAAAATGGCAAATAATTACAAATATCTCAGGAGTAACATTAAATGTGAATGGATCAAACAACCTAATCAAAAGGCCAATGTTAGACATGGTGGTAAATCTCAGAGATAGAGCCCACAAGAATACATCAGGCCATAGGTTCAGTCCCCAGCACTGAAAAATAAAAGCAGATGTTAAAGATGCTACTGTTGGATAATATTAGAAACCAGGCAGAACAGGAGGTTCCTGGCTTTCCCTCCATATATTGACACACTGAATAATCACCTACTCATGTTTCATCATTAATGAGTTGAGAAATTTCTAGATACTGCTAACTGCTAAAGATCACCCAACACCTAGCAACACACTGAGGGGAAGATTGAGACTATACATACAGCACACTACGTCTAAGGTTCCCTGGGGATTGGGTCTTAACAACTATTCCTAGGAAAGGACAAGGCAGGCACAAGTCTCAAGTCCACAAAACAAAATGGTGGCTTCATGCAAATAGTCTCAGACTTCATCCCCTGGGACCAAGGAAGAAAAGGGATTAAAACTCAAAGGTTCCACTATCTCCCTGGAAGGGATCTGCCAGCACACTGTGCCAAGGCTGCTGCCTCCTATTATCCAGCCTGCATTAGGGAGTTCACGGGGGAAAAAAACACTACCCCTTCGCACCAGGCTCCAGCGCACCCCAGCAATAGCTCCAGAGTGACCAATTCCCCCCAAGGAGTCTGTCCGTGCACTAAGTGTCCCAGCTTTAACACCTCCTATAAGGACCAAGTTTTCAGGTTAAAGTGGGCCCCCTCTGCGCCCCCTCCCCCTTGCCCAGAACAAAGCTGCAAAAATTCCATTCTATATGACAGTCTCCCTGTGTTGTTCCTCTTTTTAGGACAAGCTGTCTTAGACTATCTCCACCCTGTTTCTGTTCCTCTTTTTATGATCTAAAGATAAAATTCTCCCTGCTTAAGATAATCAATGTTCTTTAAAAGGAAGAACTGATTTAGCCAACATGGGTATTAGTCACAGCTTACATAGGTAGCCACTGTTGATATAGGTATTAGTCACTGCTTACATATATAGTCTTTGCTAATTATAAAATTTGTTTAATCAGATGTTCTTTAAAAAGAGGAAGTGATTCTGTAAACGTAGGTATTAATAATTTTCCAGTAAGTGCCCTCCCAGTACCCCTCAAATATCCAAAAATAAGCGAAAGATAAAAACAGCATCTATAAGGGAGAACCTCCCCAACCCTATAAAATCCTGCCTCAAAGATGGGTCTGGGCTCTCGGTCTAAAGCCGCTATAACGGTGACAACCGAGGGTCCAGGTTCGAGCTTACAATAAATTCCTCTTGTAACTGCATCGGACCTGACTCCTTGGTGGTCTCTGGGGACTCCGCGACTTGGGCACAACACTCCCAAGGGGCCTGGATCACAGGACTGGGAGGGGAAGGGCGTCAGGGTCCGGACTGCAGAGCCAGCCCCGCTCCGGCGCCCGTCTCCGAGGGGACCAAGAGCCTGGAGTCCGCAAGACACAGCTGTCACCACCGGAGGGGAGGTGGGGCCCAGCTGTCCGGGGCCTCGGGGGACCTAGGTGTGCAGAGGAAGAGGAGGAACACGGCGGCCTGCGGATTCCAGAGCCGACCCGGGAGACTCAGGCCTGCCACACAGCCGGTTTCCGCGGGTTCCAAGGCGCCTCCCTTCCTGGTCTCAGGACGCCGAGCCTCGCACTCACCATTTCCAGTTTCCGACGTTTCTGCGCCCTCCCAGCGATCTTCCACCCCTACAGGTCACCGGGAGACACCGGAGGCGAAGGAGCAATATGGACCTCTCGCCGGAGAGCACCACACCCCAAGATGGCGGGCTTCAACCCGAAAGGTCCGCCCAATTGTGGAAGTCCCGCCTTTCTAGCTGTGTGCCTGAGTGGACAGGTCTCATAGCCCTGCTTCTGATTGGGTAGCCCTGTGGGCTCAGCCCCCTCAATCCTTGAATGACAGTAGGTGCTACCAACCCATGGCTGAAGAAAAAAGAATGACGGATTTTTGTTTGTAGCTTTTTTTTTCTTTTTTTTTTTTTTTTTTTTTTTTTTTTTTTTGGTATCGGGGTCGAACTCGGGTCCTTGCGTTTGCAAGGCAGGCCACCGAACCACTAAGCTAAACTCCCAGCTGTTTGCTGCTTTTTTATGGTTCTCTGATATCTGAGATTGAAGGCGGGTATCTGGCGGAAGCTAATCTAAGGCAAAATATTCTCCATGTGGAGTGAGGTAGTATTACAGGCAGCTAAATTAGATACAAATTAATGTGTAGTCAGAGAAGAACTGGGCTGTCAAAGAAGTCAGCAGAAAAAAATAAAAAAACATCGAAATTGTTGCTGGACGTGCAACTGAAAAAGGCCAAGCCTCAAGATAAAGATGCAAGAAAAGGCTTAGGTGCCTCCCTAAGGGAAATGCAATAATTTGGAATTATACTATAACTGGTATCACTTGGTCCAGTACAGTCCAAATAGACGTCAGTTACTCAGGTGGGTGACCAGAGGATCTGGACACATCCCTTGTCCAAAATACCTTTGTTCTTCGCACATGACCTGCTTCCCTATTTGTCGCGAGCCGCGACGTCGAGGTCCTGCCAGCAGGCCCCAAACCTGAGAGGATTCACCGAGAGTAAACACACTGAGTCATGCTCAGATTCAAACAGACTTCTTCTTTATTCTTCTTTTACTTCTACTTCTAATACTACTTCTACTTCTACTACTACTACTACTACTTTCTGCCAGATGGCTCTCACACTTATATCAGGCAATAATATGAAAGTAAAAACAACTTCAAGGATGAAAAACAATCTCAAGGATAACTGTACAAGGCCAAATTATGGCTCCACAGAATACACATGATTTACAAGAAGCAGGTGTTTTTTCTGGAAAGCGAAATTTAGCTAAATAATGCCATAAGATGGCAGCCGATCACGGCCAATCAGAACTTACAACATAGCAACTCCTTCGCTCAGGGAACTGCAATGCAAGCAGCCAGCTGTCTTGCAGGCAGTCTCCCACACCTATTGGACCAATATTAGCTAAGCAGCTACATATAATCCTATAGGTTGGTTGTAGTTTGACCCACGTTGTACCCACAGTGTGACTTTACTGTATAAATTACCTCAAACAAAGGGCCTCTGTGGCAACCCACTTTGGGGTCATCTGCTCCCTCTTAGGAGCTATTCCTAACCCCCAGTAATCCTTTCCTACTCTTAACCTCCTTTGTCCTAATTCATTCTTCAGTTTCAGGGTACATGAGCTCAGTATATCGGAAATCTAGCAGGTTGGGAATTACATTTTTCCCTAGATTAGTAGCCCTCCATGGGGACCTTATATTTATTCTTATTTATAAAGTCATATGTTATTTATATGTGTATACATTATTCACAAATGGAAACATATAACAGCTGCTTTTAAATTTTACTGGATTTTTCTGTCTGCAAGGAAGAAGCTTGAGCTTTGAAATGGGAAGCAATTCTCTAAGGCAGCAATGTCTAATACATATAAAATGTGGGACTTGAGTGTGACTTTTAATTTTCTAGTATTCACTTTAAACATTAAAGGAAACAAGTGATAATGAGGTAGAGCAGGGATTTTTTTTTTGGCCACAGGAGAAGTCCTGTGACCCATTTCCCACAAATAGTGAAGACAGGATTTTTCCCTATCCTCCTTTGCCAATAAGGTTTGCAGTATGCACTTCTTTAACTCCTCACTGTTACTTAGAGGGCCAGGTGTTCTGCAGCTGCCAGGATGATACCTTGATGTCTCCAAGGAGGAGAACTGCCCCTCACCTGTTTCTTACAAAAAGAAAAAAAAAAACCTTAAAATATGAGGAAGATATTTCTTTAAAATCCCATACCTATCACCTGTCAGAAAAGTTACCAAGCCCTAGTGGGTCCAGGAACCCCATAAAGCCTGTCCCTTTCCTTTAAGAGGCCAGCCTGATTTCACTCAGTACCATACCCACTAGCTCTTTTCCTCCAGCTGAAGTCCTGGGTTCCTTGTCCTTCTCACTTGAGAGCTTTGCTTGTGTCCTCATACTACTTGGTCTGGCTTTGCATTTCTTTTATCGCAGGGTCTAAGGGCCCCATGTACAGGATCAATAATTTAGCTCAATGTATCCAAAATATTATCATATGAACAATATAAAATGATTAATGAAGTATGTATATTTTTGGTACTGAATCTTCAAAACTCACTTTAAGCCTCCAGTACATCTCACTTGAAAGCAGCCGCATTCTGCCTTTGAGAGCTATGACTGAAGTAGGATAAAAGAAATAAATACAGGTAGAAAGGAGACAAGAAAGATCATCCATTTTAAATGTACTTTTAAAAAAGTACTGCAGCTTCAGAATCCTCTACATTGCCAAGGGTTACATTTTTCCTCTTTCCAGGCTACTCACTCCTAAATTCCTATGTCGTAGTGAATCCATTAGACTGAACCTGTGCCTTTCTCCTGTAAAGTGGGCCTTTCACCTATATATGAGTTCTTGCCTTTCATCTGTAAATTGAGTGCCTGCTTTCTCCCTTTATTACAGATTGATAAATTCCACAGATTTCTACCTTGAAAAATACATAAATATACCCAGCCACAGACCATAGGTCACCTCATCCCTCAAGAGGCAGCACCCCTTTCTCAGTGTTAGTTCTGCTTAATAAACTTGTCTATGCTTCTCAATCATACATCCTGAAATGCTTTGCTTTGATATAAGTTGGTGAATCCACAAGCTACTCCATTGGTGCAGTGAGTTAAGGTCTGCATCACCTCTGAGGGACCTCCTCAGACCCCATCCCATGGTATGACTTTCCAGACCCTTGGGAGATGCGCCACTCCTTTTTATCTTAGAAGTGAGGACACATGATTTTCTACTGATACTCATCCTCAAGCCCAAGAAAGAGGAGAGGAAGTGCCCGCAAAAGATCAGGGAGCATGACTTCCTGCCACCTGGAGGTGGGCTCAGGCCTATCCCCTTCCACAGATGGAACAACAAACAACGGAAGATGGGGCCCTAGGTGGAGGGAACCCCAAGCCTTCAAATCCATCCCCGTCCCTGACCTCTAATGTTTAAATAGACAAAAGGCAAACTTCATATTTTGCAATTTGGCCTTGGACCTAATGGTCAGGCTGTGGATGTCTGTTTCCACTGTGTTGCATGTGAGATAATTGTCAGTTAAAGGACCAATTATATTTGTATTTATGTCTACACACGCTTCTCTATAGCTCTACACTATCTAGCAAAACATCTGACTTTAAATCATAGGCAATGGAAGCAGTGCCTTTAGGGCATCTATTGTTTGCTAGGTGATTTGCAGTCAACGTGTCACTGGACCCTGGCATCCCACTGGAGAGCAAGCCACCTGAAAAGCATCTAGCTTATGACTAGGCTGATTAGCAAATTAGGCCACGCTCATCTGGTCTCCTTCTGCTGTGCTATTGATATAGGAGGAACAGATGCAACTCCCAAATCTGCTAGATAGCCAAAACTTGAGTTTGGGGAGCTGGGGTGGTTCTGCTGCCTGCCTTGCAAATGTTCAATCCCCGTACCAAAAACAAACAAACAAACAAAAACAATAAAAACCCTCAAGTTTGTGTTCTCCAAAATCAAAGAATGAGTTCTAGGATCAACAGAGGTTAGGAATAAGAAATTTTTATTGAAAGATAGAAGGGGGACTTGAAAATGGGTTGCCCACCCACCCTGCTTTTCAAAGGCAATTTATTGAGCAAAAATATGAGATGAGGCAGGTTCAAGGTAGGGCAAAACTATAAGACCTAATGGAAAAATTACAAGCTGGGCATGAGGTGGGACAAAATCATGACCAACCAATAGGATTACAAGTACAGTCACCTAGGTAATATTGGTTAAATGGGAAGTCAAATGGGAAAACAAGTCACATACAAGGAATTTCCAGGAAGGAAATGGGCTAGGGAGATTGATGTCCATTTAGAATATCAATCAGTGCTATTCATCTCTAGGAGAAGTAGTACCTCTTTCCTTTTTATAATGCTAACCAGTGAATCTGCCTCAATTGTTTTTCTGTGCTGAGGACCAGCTTTGTCCAACTGTCTTATAAGAATTTCTAACTCATTTAGCTATCTGCAGTACTGTCAGCTGATGGTTGACTTGGTGACAGTTTCAGGGACTGAGCTGGCTGTCAGCTAAGGCAACTTGATTCTCCTCCTATGATATCTCATCCTCCAAGAGGCTAATAAGGGCTTGTTTTCAGGGAGGTGGCAGAGTTCTAAAAGGAAAGGTGTTAGGGACCTGATGCTGCCATCACAGGCTGCATTTTCCTGGTGATTCTTGGCTCTTAAAAAGATCTCATGCTCTTTTCTTTATTTTCCCTGCCCCACAAGGCCACAGCCGTCTGGAGAGGTTAAACCTGTTTCTGCAGGACCAAACCTATAAAGGGCAACCTGGCCTGTGATAGGTTAAAGGTAGCTCACTCCTCATAAATAAGCAGTAGCCCAACCCAAAACCATAAAAGGACCTTCCTTTCTTTGTTCCTCTCTCTCCTCTCTCTCTCTCTCTCTCTCTTCCTCCCTCCCTCCCTCTCCCTCTCTCTCTCTCTCTCTCTCTCTCTCTCTCTCTCTCTCTCTCTCTCCTCTCCCTTCTCTCCCTTCTCTCCTCACCTGCCTTCCCTAATAAAATCTCCTGTTGGACCTCCCTGTGTGTGGCCTAGTTGATCATCACCGTGCATCTACAAAAGGTACTCAAGATCTTTTGAGCCTAGGTTTCAAATGAATACACCTTCATAGGCATGACTTTACATTTGCGACACCAAATAAAGTCCTTAAGTCTTTCTTAAACCCTAATAATTTGAATATTTGCTCTCTTAATACT